AAGCTGCAAGTAGTTCAAAGGTCTGGATTTAATGGTAGCTTAGTCCTTTCAAGACAGCAGCATGAGAGAACTAATGGCTAACCTATCAGAGGCTGTGCTTTCAGAGGGTGGCAAGAATTACAAGAAAATAAGTGATAATATGACATCAGGAGTACCAAAGTGGGCTCACCTCCTTAGGTGGCTGGCACTAGGTACCTGTGGAATGTCAGAGAAGAGAATCTGGAGGCTGCCAGCAAGTCTGGGTTTACACTAGCAGTGGAGAGGTAGACTTGAAAAGGACGTGGAGATCTACACACCTGTCAAAGGGATTCTGAGCCCAGAAAAAGCACCAGAAGCCAAAGAAACTGGGACTAGGATGTGACAAGGGTGTGTGTTGAAGACTAAGGCAGCTTGCCTTTTGGGACCAAGTAGGTTTTGGGGGAACTGTACTGAAGAGGGCACAGGAAAGGAGAAGTCTGGGAATAATGAAAGAGAAGGGGAGCAGACAGAAATTCCAATGTTTAAAAAGGAAGTAGAAGATTTAAGCATTGAGGATCAAGGGTAGGCGGACACTAAAAGCTAGACATATCCCCAGGGATAAGAGAATTAGTAACTCTCCGGACAATGTAGGCCCCTTGAAGTCTGTTGTTTACACAGGTTCACTTCAGTCCTACTAGGACGCAACCGCAAAAATTAGAATCTGGCAGCTCTGCTGGGCCAGAGAGACCTGAGAACGAGCCCATCTCCTACAGGCACAGCTGTGCTCTGAACCAGCTTTTGGCCAGCCTCAGAAATTGATCAAAAACATCCTTAAGACCCAGAGGGCCCCAGTGCCAAGTCGTGTACTTTGCAGCCCAGCACCACTGTCCATCCAGCAAGTGGCAGTGCTGGCTCGGCTAACCCAGTGCACGAGGATGACACAGGCCGGGCTGCACTCCACACTCCCAGCCCCCAGCCCCAGCCCCAGCCTTGCTCTCTAGACTTTCACCCACTGCCTACTTACTTTTTAATTAGATTTTTAAACAAAAAGTGAAAGTATTTTCTAAAATCCCTCTAATTACACTAAGATGCTGAACTGATTGTGAAGGGAATAGGAAATGAAAGCGACTCACCCTCTGAGGGAGAATTTTGTCAGCCATCTTCCTCCTCTTGGCACTGTACATTTTTTAAAGAAAAAAACACGTTACCATGGTGACAGATCTAGGAGTAACGAGGCCACCTGCTAAATTATCCTGACATCTCCACATGCTGGTGCACAGCTGTGCATGCATCAGCAAAAGGGTCTCACCCATGCCCAGGACCTAGGACCCCTTCTCTCAGCAGCCTGGGGAGGTAGTTAGCTAAGAACAAATCAGGGCTGTCTGTTATGCATCTTGGAAAGAAGTGTGCAAGTTCTTTGATCACAGCATCTTCTATGGTGCAGGGCAGCAATGTGTGCATGTGCACATGCTGTCTATAGATACAGAGAAAGCATGTAGGAGGACAGCGTGCACGTGTGGAAGTGTGCATAGATATACCTATGCATATTGCACATGTAAGTGGTTGAGTGCCTGTAAACAGAATGTGAACTTGTTCAAACAGATGACATGCATTCATTCATTCATGCCCAAAATTGAGTGCTGTTGAAAACACACGTGTGTGTATTTCATATGATGTATGAAAACACACATATATACACATCATTCCCTATGTATATACACTTGTTTTATTGTAACATATTTGCATGAGTGATATACAAAGGTAAGTGGGCTTACATTTCCATATTTGTTCATCTTTATGAATGCATATGTGGGAAGATACATGTGTGCCTGCAGTGTATATACATAATGTGTCCATACCCATACATAAGCACATTTATATATCTATGCTTTTAAAAACATACTGGTGTTCATGTACATACACACAAATGTATATGTGCCTAAGAAATGGTACTGTCAGGAAGATTGCCAAATACATTGTCTTTTGAATTCTTCAGATTCTAAGAACCATTTGTGCCCACCAAACCTGTCACCTAGCTTTCTCTAACAGGGCCAAGAGGGAATTCAGGCCTTATTCTTCACCTCTGTAATTTGTGAGGCCTTTATCTTAAGCAGGAGATGAATCACTCCATCTGTGACAGACAAATGGGAGAATGTGAACCGCCTGCTGCCGCTCTGCCATGTCACAAGGATGTCCCTCCTTACTGTTTTCATACAGGAAGTCTGTCATCAGCCATGTCCATGTAAAAGCTGTTTCCACACACATCGATGTGGCATACTCACTTCCTACATTTACTAATAATAAGCCTGGCCTGAAATACCAGATTCTTAGGTTCTTTCCCATCCCCATATAAGCCAAGCCTGAGGAACTCTTCGTGCCCGGAGGTGCAAACTACATTCTTCCTCAGGGGCAGAAAATTCATCCACACAGTCACACCCAACTTCACAGGTGAACAATGTCCCTTTTTAAAAGTGTAGGAATAATGGGACTGGAATGTTACATGGTGTGAACCTCCAACACGTTCCACAGCTCACAAAATCAAATCTGCACTGAAGCATGTCACAGAATCTGGAAGTAATGCCTGAGCAAGCTCCATCCTCCCAAAGGGAAATGGGATATGTATGCACCTGCAACAATCCCAAAGCTTGCAATTAAAAAGCAAGTAACAAACAAACCAAAAACCCCCAACAACTTGGGTCTCAACCAGTTCTCCAAGAGTCTGTAATAGAAATTACATTTTTGTCTCCACCAAACCTGCCAAGAAAGGACGACTACACCTTCTTGGCCTGTTTGTGCCATAAAACATAGGACTCAATTTCTCCCAGAATTGGACCCAAGGTGCCAGAAAAGTTTGCCTGAAAAAACAGAAAAATTTCAATGGGAAATGACAGGGAGGTGGAAATGAACGAGGGGAACACATTCAACACATCATCTGGAGGGAAGGCATGGCAGAAGAAAGAGTACCTAGGAAGCACTGGTGTGAGCTGGACTCACTACAGTAGAGATTACTGCTGGGTTCCAAACTAGAAGCGTTGAAGTTAAGAACTGGGGAGGGGGAACTGCTTCCATCTGTGAGTTAGGCCATCAACTTTTAGAAAATACTCTTCTTTAATGATCCCTGGAAACTAGTAAGGTAAATTAGTTTACCTTAATTATCCAGCAATGGCAATTTTTCAGGTTATATCTACCCTGTATATTTGAAGGCTAGGCATTATTTTGTGCAGTTTCCTGGAGTACCTCCTGGGAGGTGCTGTGGAATGTGCATTTTGGCTTGTGCTGGGCAAAGCCTCCATGACACACATGCATTTCTTGTGCTCACGTGCTGCACTCACACACATTCCTTCTGTATTCAATGTTATTAAATCATAATGTATTAATACTCTCAGGATTAGTGTCCTTTCCAGATGCATCCCAGATATAAGCATTCCCAAGTCTGGCTTGCTGATCCAAGGCATATAACCTGGACAGAGCAGGGCTCCTGAAGCACTGAGCTTAGAGAGTCATGTTTTACCTACAACTACATATGATGACATGACCAGAACACTGTCTGAATCTATATATACACCTATAATGATTTTGCAAAGGCAGACCACCTAGATGACTGCACTCTACGTATTTATCAGGAACTGGCTCACACTTGGAGCTCAAGACTGCTGATGTCTAGTAAGTTGCAAAAAGAAATTAGCGAACTGCTATTTAAGAGAGAATGCATTCATCACTGTACAAAGTGGGCATATTTTAAAAAGAAAGTTCCTGTAAAAAAATCCCTCTAATTCTATGAAATTATTTCCTATGCATATCTCTTCACTTTATATGTAGGAATGCCTGTGACAATTGCAAGTTTTATGACCACTCTCCTGAGCGACCATAGTACAAGTCATGGTCAACCATGACTAACCAAAAATTTTTTCCACTTGTCTTGTTTACAAACCATTTTGTTAGCCAGTCAGAAATCAGAGAAACTATACAGAACAGATAACGAATAATACAATAATTGTACTGTATTAGAAGAAAACTGTTCATTAACTTTAAAGGCTAAATATAACAGCTAGATTTATAGCCCACTAAACCTGCGAGGTAAAAGCATTATAACTGCAAATCCAGACATTAGTAACGGTCAGTTTGTTCAAGACCATTCACAAACAAAGTAAAGAGTAAAATTTACCAATGTTTCTCCTGCTTTAAGAAACTGACAATATATAAATCTTCTATTCTATCTCATTCCATCTTAAAGGTCTTACCTATTGCTAAAAAGATATCATTTTTTCTTCCTCAAATTGTCCTCCCATGTTTTCTTTCCAGAACACTCACCTCCTAGTTCGGTTCTGAGTGGCTTGCTGCTGCTGTTGCACCTGCTGCTGCACCTGCTGTTGCTGGACCTGCTGTGGTGCAGTGCGTTTTCTTGTTGTTTCCATCACGGTCTGGGGCATCCCAGGTCGCACTGAGGGGCTTCCAACGTATGGGGGGCCTGGGGGACCCATGGGAGCCCCCTGATGGGGCATTCGAGCTCCTGATGGCATCCCAGGTCGCTAGAGAAGAAGTGAAACAGAAAGAAGAGCCAGTTTGGTCCCTGTTTCTTCAGCTGCAAAGACATTTGTACATAATCAGACACTAGCTCCAGCAAGTTCCCCATTTTGACCACTCTGACAAGCACTAAGCAGCAACACAGAGCTCACGAGCTCTGGACTGGTATTTCCTGGACATCATAAAAAGGAATTCAGTGATAAAGTAGACAGGAAACAGGGATGAAAAATACTAGGCTTGGGAAAGCACTCAGTGGTCAGTAACATATCAAGGCCAGCTTACAGCAGAAAGCTCTACCTTCAGACCAAAGAAAAAGCTCCATGGCAGCTACACGCAGTCCAAATTGGTGCAGTTCACATGCTAATCAAAGCTACAAGCAAGCTCACATCTACAGTGCTTCAGATTTTGCACTGACTAGCAGGCTGCTTTGATCAGTAGGGAGACTGCAACAAGCGAAGGTGAACCATGAAAACTCTATGATAAAACATTTTCCATTAACAGCCCTCTCCTTCACCAACACTGGAGAGCAGTGTAAGTTCATAAAGCAACAAGAATCTTTTAAGAAAAGGTCATGTCTCTGATCAAGCCTTAAAAAAAAAAAAAAAAAAAGGAATGTGGCAGTTTGTCAGCAGCCCCTGTAGGCATTCAAAAGTCCCGACATTTATGGTGACTTCAGCGTGCTCTGGAGAGACACTGAGTCAAATCACAAGCTTAATGCTGTACAAGACACACAGTAAACTCAATTCTAAATCCTAAAAGTTTGTAGTTGTCAAGGAAAAACACCAGTAAAATAATTACCACCTGTAAAATGCAATTTAAAACAGAGAAGAGCTTAGTTTCATTCTAAGAATTATCAAGATGTTTATTATATGTCTATGTATATGTGAAAATACAGACAAATACGCACACACTCTATAGGCATTTGAACCAGTATGTGAATAACAATAATCATACACAGAAGTCTTCTGAAAGTCAAGTCCCTCTACAAAGTCTTTTGTAGAAACCGAGAGGCAATGGCATCCATTGTGGATAAATAATTGGTTAAAGGATAGAAATGAGGTAAAATTGTTTCTGAAAATAAAGGAAGGCACATGCAGAGTTTTGCTGCAACTCATGCTTTTCAGCATATTCATAAGCAACCTGAAAAAAAAAAAAGAAAAAAAAAAAGAGAGAGAAAAAGCAAGGAAGTGAACAAGTTTGTTGGTAACACTAAGTTATTCAAGCTGGCAAGGATGAAGCCAGCTTCAAAGAACTTCAGAAGGACTTTATGAGACAGAATGAACACTGAAAAGGAAGATGAAAGTGGATTTCAATACATATTGAAGTGAATTACATGAGAAAAAACAACCCAATCATCACATACAAAACAATGGGCTCTGAGCTGACTGTTGCCCAACAGAAGCAAGATCTTGGAATTTAAACAGACACTTCCAGAAAAAAAAAAAATCAGTTCAGTGCTTACTAGAGGTCAAAAAAAGCCATAAAACAAAAGAAATAACAAGGAAGGGAACAGAGAACATCACTGTGCCACTGTCCATGGTTTGCCCACATGCTGAATGCTGTGTGCAGTTCTGGTTCCTGCAGTTCAGTAACAGTAGAGTAGATCTGAAAAAAGTACAAATGATTAAGATATGGAACTGCATCCACATAAGTAAAAGTAAATATACTATGATTTTCCATCTGGATAAGAGGTGATCCAAGGTAATCTAAAGGGGCATTTGCTAGAGCTCTGCAAGATCATGAGTGGCCTGGAGAGGGCAGTTGGGGATTGACTCTGCCCCTTCCAGAATAATAAACTATGGCCATCAGAGGAGGCTAGGAGGAGTCAGGCTCACAGACAACCAAAAAGGGGTAGTTTGCCACACAGTGGGTAGTCAGCCTGTGGAACCCCTTTCCAAAGGGGTGCTAACGATATGGAAAACATATTTGGCTTAGAAACTTCTCTGAGTTATCAACAGTTAAAGACTGAGAAAGTACTTGAGAGAAGTACACTAGTGGTCTCCAAAGTGAGGTGTGTGCACCCCAGAAGGTATGCAAGACAGTCCATTGGGGGGTGGCAATAAAATGGGTTTTGTACCGTTAATAAATGAAATAAAATAAAAATTTTAAAAATAGTTTATTTAATCTTTATCTCTTCCTTTTATAATTTCTAAATATGTAATTATAATATATATTAATATATAATTCTAAATAGAATTTGGACCTGCATCTCCAAGTTAACCACCCAAATCCACTGTACTCCCCAAAGCCCCAGCTCAGTGCCCTTCCTGATCATCACAAGTCTTAGATATTCCTTGCACTTGTATGCATGAAGGAAACTGGAGAAAGATAGGGGAATGAATGATCAGCAAAGAACCAATGGCTGTAATTGGTACAGACAGAGAAGGAAGGCTGAGGTAGGAGAGAGACTAGCACAGGAAGCCACGCAGGTGAATTCAGCAAGTATTCATGTAGGAAACCAGTTGTGGGTATGGCCACTGAGCAGAGAAGCAGCAGGAGGCAGCAACAGGCAAAACTGAGGCTTTGTGCAGAGCTGGAAACATCTTCTCCCATAAACACGAAGCTATGAAAACTGCTGGAACAGAGCAGCTCCCTCTGTTCCCACGTACTCACCCCCACCCTCTGACCCAAGCAGAGTCAGCAGAAACAAATGGCCCAGAAAATGCTTCTCACTTGAGCTTGTATTCAAGATCTCTCTGTTGTCTGTCAATCTACACATTGTGGCCTTCTTCCAGCAAAGAGCAGACCATTGGGCCTGCTGTTGCCTGTCAATCAGCCGGGGCCATTTGACAGTCATTCAGAAGAGACAAGATCCTGGGCACAGCCATCTCATATTCATCCCTCCTGGAGACTGTCTGGCCACAAGGATCAGACTGCAGGCCCACTTTTCTGCTTCTATAAAGGACACCTTAAGGCCTGGAGAACAAGGTCAGTAAGCCAAATCTACTCTTGATCTAAGTCTGACATCTTTGAACTTCCTTCAGTTCCCTTTGTTAAGCATCAAAATAGAGAAACGTAGAGAAAGGACAAAACTGAGAAAAAGGAGACAGCTCTAGCAAAAGCATATTCAATGTCACCTCTTGCCCTGCCTCATTCCTTCCCCTCCCTTCTCGTGTTCCTATCTCCAGTATCACCCGTAGATAAAGTATTACTCACTACGCAACTGCCATCTCCCTGCTGCAAGCCCACCAGACTCCCAAGATATAGAAATGCTTTCTCTATCTAAACTTTTATAAAAGGAGAACACACAAACAGTACCTTACCTTATCTAAAAGCTTATTTTGCTCTCAAACACACATGCAAGACAAGACAGTGACAGACAATACACTGAATTTTTCACAATACTGACATAAAAAAAAAAGTCTTGCTGCTGAAGAGTATTATAATACCACTACATCTTTTGAAAGAGATCTTGGAGGTGTACCTGTCTACGGGCTAGGATCTGTCTCGCTCCTCTCCCTCAGAGGGATGGAATCTATCCTGAACAAGTATCATCCTCGGTGAAGGCTGCAGTGCAAAACAGCACTGACACATCCTCCTTCCTGGGAAATCATCTACCCTAGACTCCCTTACCCGACCCAACTCTGTTCTTACCCACAGACTTATCCCCTTTCTTCCCCCATTGATTCCATATACATGTATTACTCTGCACTACTTCAAACACTTTATGAAACAGAGGGCAAAACCACTGTGGGCCATAGGAAATGAGGAAGACCACAGTATGTCCCCAGCTGAAGGGACCACTCTCACAGCTCTGAGAAGATGAAGCAAAGAGTAGAGTAGAGCTGCCGGCAGAGCAGCTAGACAAGGCCAAACAGTATGGCACACAGAGAAAGGCACACAACCAGTATTTCATGCATGCATACTGGTCCCTAAGAATTCTGTCAATTGCCTGCATTCCTGTACACAGTCCATCACTGTCCTGGCTACAGCCTTCCAAAGTTGAGCATACTGTCAGTGCAGCAAGCATACCACCTTCCCAACAACTGCTGCCAAGTCCCTATCACTACCTTCTACTGCCCAGTTTCCCAAGCCACACATTTGGCTTTTCTACTTTCTTCCCTGCCTGAACCTCCTGTCACATCAGAGGACTGCCTCTTTCCTCTTCCTTTGTCATTCTTCAAGTGAACTCCTGTCTGATGGCAGAAATGAGACAACACTGGAGTGGTGCTTTTCTATGTATTTCTACTGCAGTCTTTTCTCAAGGGACATCAACGTCATAGCAGCCAAAATGATGAAGCAGAAAAAAGGAGGGTTCCTGTCTGGACATACCAGATAGAGGAAAATAACCTGGAAAACTGATAGGTAAAAGGAAAAGAAAGTGTAAAGAAAAGAAAAGCAAGAACACCTACAAGAGCCTTAGAAAGGGACTGAACAGAGAGCGGGGAGTCACTGCAATGCAATATAGCATTGAGCTGCACGTACAGTAATTTCCTGTTCTGAAAGACACAGACTCTATCCATCTCAGCGCCACACAGGAGGATTCTGATGGCATGTAGTGAACAGCCAGGGGCTTCTTGTTAACAGAGAAACTGACTGATTTTGAGAAAAAGAACAAAAATGGCATGTTTTTTTAACTAAAAATAGAAGCTACCTTGGCTAGACAACATATTGTGTCAAGGCATTACAGTAGCTACTGATTTCTATAAGGCATAAACATAAGCAAGAGGAGATGCCAGATGCTGTCTGGAGGTAAGAATGGGTCACTAGAAGTATCTGGAACAGTTAACAAATTTAGCCTAGACAGATATTGTCTGATAGCAACAGGTTTCTGACTGCACAAATGGCTTCCCAACTGAATGTGCTGTTTCAAAATGGATTCAGAAGTACAAGAAAAAAAGTTGTAGATGGCTTCTCTCCTCTCCTCTAACTACAGATGTTACCTCATATGAGTTCCTTTTTTTTTTTAATGTCTATGAATCTTTTAGAGATTTAGTAAGCAGAAACATCAGTATTGCAATTCCTCTTGCTTGTCTGCCATATTGACCTTCCTCCATTTCCCAAA